CCTGATTGTGCTGGAAGGGTGGTCGCCATGACTGCTGCTGCTGCGGCGGCATAGGTTTATGCCAACTCGAGCCTGCGCTAGGGAATCTAAAAGCTTTCGGTGTGGTCATAGGGACCTCGTGTGGTATTTTATGATTCGCGTTCATTTGATGTATATTCGGGTTGCGCCGTTCAGGAATACTCTCGTTACGCTGTTGTAGGTACATTACATTTAATTCCTGCTGCACAAATTCCAGAGCCTTTTCTATAGTTTCGGGTCTCATACATCGGATACGGGACCCTAGAGGTTCTTTAAGTCCTCTAACGAACGATTGCAATGTTAACTTTTTATATAGAACGCGTTTAGCTTCGATAGTAGTATCTATATTCTCATGTAACGTAATATATGTCATTATTGTACTAAAAAGGGTCTGGCATTTGTCATAATATTCTTGAGGGGTACTACTCCCTTGTGTTAATAAAGACATGTCATTATAAAGAGCGGTCTCGTCTCGTTGATCGGAGAAATTATTTATCAAGGCATCACGGATCCCTTGCCAATTATCCGGTATACCATTAGAGTTAATAGTTCTGGCTGCAGATCCAGTAATTTTATTTAATATACCGTTTATTAAACACAAATTAGTTAATTCGCAACTCGGATCATCTTTAACGTATTGTACTACGAGTTGATCGCATATTCTAATAAAACGCGTGAGGACATTTGGATTGCCATCAAATTCCGGGACTGGGCGCAAAGCCTTATAGATAGAATCGGGGTTCAATGCCATCTTATTTATCGAATATTTCTAAACCTAAATTATCTGAATCGATAACCCTATTAGAATCTAATTCCCTACACCTGCTTATCTGTCTGGAAGAGACAGATTTATTCCTGGTTACCCTTGGATGAAAAATTTTGATTAATTTTTATAAAAGGGTGAAAAGGAAGGATAAGGGAGCAACACTTAAAGAAAGTTTCAAGGACTTACATGTACATGATTATTTCGATGTATCGATGACTGGATACGCCCTCAGCTGCACCTTCTGAAGTTCGGATACTCGACGATGTACTTGGAAGTACCGACAGCGACTTCCGGAGTCAGTAGATTAACGATTTTTGGAAATCTGTACTGCGCCACGCTGCCTCGAATATCCTACCGACTGCGCCAATTATGTAGGTGACAGCCGGAGGACTTTGAAATAATCGAAACTTTTAGAGATAAAAGTTTAATTAATTTAAAAATTACAATAGTTTTATGTGTAGACTTGGACGATGCTAGTACCAAAGTGAATTATTTTATTAATACATATTATAGTCTGAATTAATTCTACGTAAAATACAGATGCAACATCAGCACTGTGGAAGTAAGTCACGAGGCGGCGACACGAGGAGTCGACTCAGCATATTAGGTGTTGCAATATTCCGTAAATGTGTCGCTTTGTGCGTCATTGGCTATCATGTCGCTATTCAATGGATTTGGTATAGGCAGGGCACATAACAAGAAGGAAAGTAGACCTGGATATAAATAATAAAATAAGTAAAATAGGACTTTTACACGTCGAGTCAATTGTACTAGTTACTCATTAGGAGGTAACTCGTAAACATTTATTTATTTGTATTGTAACAGCGCTACGTACATCAATATAAGTGTCGCATTAGGTTCCTAGTTCGACTAATATGGATATCAGATAATCAAAAGACACGAATGGAATATTTAAATACTCTTAAGGTCTGTTATCCAAGTACGAACACCATGCTCATAAACTTACCCCAGTCTTTTAAACTTATACAATCGATTTTTAACCAAATTGTTCTGTAATTAAAGTTTAAAATCTATTTGAAATTAGAGTTGGTTGACGTGCCAATGTGTACTCAAGTAATGTTCATTAATTATATGCTTACTCGGTTTAATTGTCTATCAATCCATATGTTAGACAACCGAAATTATTGTTCAGTAATTTACGATCCGTTGTAAATTATATAGGTAATCATTTTTCTTATACAGTTAACACACGAATCAAATCTACATTGTTATTATAAAGAGGAAATCTTTGTTTGTTTGTAATGAATACCCTCGAAAACTACTGGACTAATTTTAAAAATTCTTTTACAATTCGACAGCTACATTATCAACGAGTACCATAGGTTATATTTTATTTTGGAAAAAAATAGGATTCCGTTAGATATTTGGGTTTTTCGGATACACGGTGTAATAAAGTTACTTTTTTGCGTACGCTGCCTAATAATATGCCTATAAAACGTAGAACCTAATCTAATTACTTGTAGACCTTTTAAATAACAGCAGAGCGGGTGAAACCACGAAGCACTAAGCTAGTATTTTGTCGCGGAGAACCTAACGGGTAACCGGGGCTCCGGCTCGACGTGCAGGAGAAGGAACGGGGTGGTTTTTAGTCAGTAAGAGTCTGACACTCCCTTCCGCCTCATCCAGGCGGGAGCAGTCATTCGATGATTTTCCCCCTTAAAAAAAAAATCTAGTATTTTATAAAAGAAAAAAATTACAATTTACACAAAGTAAGGTTTTATGCTATAAATGGATATGATAATGGAAATATCAGACGCGTAGTAGATAATCTAATTCTTTATTAGTATGTTAAATGTTGTTGCAAAAGCCATTGTTTTCTCATCGATGTATATAGATAAAAAGTATACTCAAGAATTCGACCTTCGACCTGTCACGACATCAATTATAAGGAAAACTGATTAAAGAATTAATTACAATGGCGATTAAATAGATCATGAAATAAAAGTTTAACATTACAATTTTCTTTCGAAAACTTCTTACTTTTAAACGTATAAGTGCGTTATTACTTTCTAACACGTAAACCACTGTCCGAGTTTAGACGAATTTTGCTATGGAGTGAATCTTACACTAAATACATGTACCAAGTACCGAAAAGAAAATACCTTATTATTCTTAAAAAATACTAATATTTATTTACGTCATATCTATAGATATGTACTAGTCATATAAATTTCCCTAGATATAAACGCTAGGTTTACATAATAGGTAACTCCTAGAAAATCTCACATACTTTTGCTCGACTGCTAAAAACTTGATCCTTAGCTTCCTTATTTTCTCCACGAATGACATAACAGAAGGGCCCGAAAAGGGTTTTTATAGAACTGGCTCTCCCAACCCATACTATTTAATTTACATAGAGAAAGCAACATATCGAATACTTATGTCATAACATTGTATAAGAAATTTTCCGTGTATGTTAGGATACAAGGGAAATAATTAACAAATCAAATCATTAATTTGACTGCCTCGTTGGCCGAGTGGTCGCAAGTGCGGCAAGGGGTCTCGGGTACGATTCCCGAGACGGGCAAAGTACTACTGGTTTAAAAAAAATTCTCAGTAGTACGGAGTCTGGAATTGTGCCCGGTATATTTCAATAGAATCACCCCCTATTGGGTTACATGGGACTTATATCATAAATAGTGAAAAGTGGGTGTTACATTGTACAGTGCCATAATGTGAACCTCTGCCTACGCCTTCGGGAATAAAAGACATGATGTTATGTTATGTCAAATCATTTATTTCTATATCCCACACTTTCAAACCATGGAAATAGAATTCTCCATTAGTCTGTTTATCTATGAAGCTAATCCAAATTCGTATGTAGGAGATATTCTAAAAATTACAACGTTACTCATTGAAAACAACTGACGACAGGACTCATTTACAATTTAAAGTCGTGTGGTGCTACTCATAATAGAATTGAAGCCTTATTGTATTACTCTTAAGCATCATTATCCAATTATGTCTACAAATAACTCATTATATTATTGACATAGTCTATAGATGTACATAATAGGAAATGTAGAAATACATAATTTATGTAACACCACGATCTTTCACTGTTATGTTATGAGAACATTACGACATCTTCCAGCTCTTTGTTGATATTTCTTCTATCATAATATTATGTACTGTTATTGGAAAAATGTATGCATTAAATTGCCTGCTTTATAAGAAAGAATCATTTTTTGCTGAAGGTATACTTACCTACTTCTTATTTTTTTAAATCACTATTGTGTAAGCACCGTAGTTCTTGTTTTTCTTTTCATTTACTCGTTTTCCCATTTAGGTATTTTTTTTTTCATTTCATTCAAATATTCTCTAAACTTCTTATTTGATGACGCTAACAAAATCTAGCTAGCTTCGAAGTTTGATTGAAGAACAACGAACAATTCTATCGTTACTCTTAACAAACTCGTATAGATCATTAATTTCTGCATGATTAAGGTCACTTTGATATGTTCATAAAAATACTATGCCTATAGGCCGGAAAGATAACGGGTTGGCAACTTCCAAAAAATGTTATTTATTTTTGCAAAATGTCTATATTGACTTTTATCAGGGTTAGTTTTTTAAATTTACAGTTTCCCCTTGTTTATGTTGCTTGTGTAGGTTTAAACTAGATTGTGGTTTCCGACGGTCCGCTGATGTATAACCAATTGACTTTGGACTATTGTACGCTTTATTGGAATCGGCCCATGTGGCAAGGGTTGAGGCGTCATGCACACATAAATGTCCTACAGTCGGTGGCGCTGTGTGTTGGGTTGTTCCGTTCCCAATAAAAAGGTTGACCGGACCAATTGCTGACACACACGTCATACTCGTGAACGGGTGCCTTCTGCTGGGTCAGGTCGGCTCTCTCATCTTGTTGGTGGGCTGGTTTCATAAAGCCTTTGAAATATAAATAAATAAATAGTGCCTAATTATTATGTAACCTATACTTTTGGTAATAATTTTAGATGTAGTTAATTGTAGTGTGTAACTAGGTTCCCTCTTTACTTTATAAAAATTGACTAGATGTATTATAATTAAAAAACTGTATGACAAGGGCACGGACCTAGAGTCCGTGGAGAAATAATTTATAATATTAAAAAAAAAAAAAAAACTAGATTGTGGTGATTTAAAAGTTTTACAATTACAACTATGTAATTATACTTCCAATAAAACATTAATCTTATTTGCTTATTTTTTTCAGTAATGGAGGTGGCATCAGGAGAATATGACGTGGATTTGGAGAAAAGCGCTCAAATTATGAGCCAGTTCAAACCAGATCTAACTACTAATGCCAACGGTAGTTGGGAAAATCACATTCCTACTATACCTGCACTGCCCAGCCCTCTAGGTACGTACCTTAAGCTAGACTTGAGTAGTAAAACTAGTTTTCCATTGCAAAGATACCTGTGGAAAAGTTTGCTAGACTTGTAGCGCATAGTCTTGAAATATGGCCTAAATTGAGTACGTTTACGATTTTTTATGAATTGTATGAATGATGACTTACCTAAGGTTGATTCGAGTGAGGTAGAATGATATAGTTGAGTACAATGAACTAACAGTTGTTGTTTCGTTTACAGATATAAGATCAGACTTAAAACAAAAACAGTCGTTGCTGAGCCCTAACTACAAACAGCGGAAACTATCGAAGAATATCTACAGACAATCTGGACTATTACGACAAACATGGATTTTGTTATATAGGAACTACTTAATGACTACGAGAAACTATGTAAGTATAGTAACCCAACAAGTTATTTGTAAAATTTTATACGAAAATAATCTCAAAAATCGCCTTAGAAACCTCGTAAAACCTAATTTTTACATCCGAATCCACAACCTCCCTTTGATTTGATTGAATGATTGGTTCAGCTTCACGTTAGCACTATTTTCGAATTTTCCCAATCCACTAAACTATTTTTTTTTACCTACAAAGACACCTTAAAAATAGGAATTAAAGGCTTGTCAAACTCGACACATGTGTTTTTATAATTGTTTTATTTTTAATACCCTGATCGATTGTTATCGCTGAAATTAGCAAAAAATTGCTTTGAAATCTTTAAATACTTTACTCATTTTTCAGTCTTACCACCAATCGAAGCACATACAATCATTTCAAATAGCACAGCAAAAACAGAATAAAAATTGTTCAAAAAATCTGTGTATTTTTTATATTTCAATGATAACATAAATTTAGAAAACCAAAAAGGTACCTAAACCTAGTTACATTAAAAATCATTCTTGATGGAGTATAACAATTATCTAAATATTAGGCGCGTTAGACCCACGCGTGGCCAACATTTTTATTTTATCTGTAGTCACGAGTCAAAACACGTGTGAAACCTTCAACTTCTGATAAAAAAAATAAGAACACAGATAAAAAATCAGCCCATATTTTTGCTTTCTAATTAACAAAGACAATTAGTATGTGGGTTAAATAATTAAAAAGGGCAATATATGATAGGCGTTATATCGTTATACTAGTCTAATAATAATTGTAGCGTAATGTTTTAACATAATTTCGATTTCGATTGGTAAACATGTAAAATATTGAGATTTTTATTTAGTTCCCGGGTTAGTTACATTCCCTAACTAACCTAATTTCGGGATAAAAAATTCTCAGTAGTAACACGGAGCCTGGAATTGTGCCCGGTATATGGCACTAGGCTCACCCCCTATTACATGGGACTTATAACATAAATAGTGAAAAGTGGGTGTTACATTGTACAGTGGTATAATGTGCAACCTCTGCCTGCCCCTTCGGAGATAAAAGGCTTGATGTTATGTTATGTTTTTATTTAGTTGAAAACCACTGAAACTCTTGTTTCTTTGTAACACCTTGTAGCTTAAAAGCGAAAAATAAAACTAATAGAAAATTTTCTCTTATTTCCAGTCGTTATTCATGTACCGTGTTGCTGCGCATGTGGTCATCGCTCTTATCTTCGGTTACTTGTATTTCGGGGTAGGCAGTGAAGCAGGCTCTGTTCTTGGCAACTACGTCTATCTGTATGGATCTATGCTGCTTGTCGTCTACACTGGAAAAATGTCTGTCACGTTATCATGTAAGTAATTATTTTAATAAAGAAATCACATCTGTTATTTCCAAGAAAAGGATCTTTGTTGATTTTTTTACTACCTAAAACTCATAGTATTAACTTACGTAAGTTTCTTATTAACATAATTATTTTGTTTACTTAAACCTTCGTAAAAGAGAGTGGTGTTGTGCTCCCTAAATCTCAATACAAAAATTTGGAAAAATCTGTAGTGGCAAAAACAAAATACTGTTTCTAAACAGAAACAGTCCCTATTTATTACTTTTTCAAAACTTAAAAGATTAGATTGATTTGTGTTTTTTCCAAGATACGTGCAATTATTTTATAATGCAAGTAATCATTTGACGTAATTGTATTTGAAAAATAACTGATTAGGCTTATTTGTTCCGATAACATATGTGAAAAATAATATATTTATCACATTCCTATACCATACCTATAAGTAAATTCACGTGAATAAATATAAATTTATTCAAATAAATGTATATATGCAGCATTGATGGATACATAAATATGTCAGTTTCATTTCATAGTAAACCACAATATAATGCAAAGAGATAATTATCGTCATAAATGCAATGCGCGTGTAAAATAAAAATAAACGTGACGTTTATGAAATTTTACTGCGACTAATAATCATAATATAACATTTATACATTGATTTGAAGGGATATGTACGCACACCGAGACGGCATGGCAAGGGATTTAAATTTTTGCTTATATACATACATTCAAATCAATTGATGCCGTGGTGTCGAATGGGATTTCCACGGCCTTAAAAGACGCACCACGTGCTCTCGACACCGCAGCGGGATGCCGTGGCATGTCGTGGTACGCAAAATCCCTTACCATGCCGTCCCGGTCTGTGTAGGCCTTGACTTTACATTCATTAGGACATTTATGACAGTTAATTCCTTTTGTTTTCAGTTCCGTTAGAAATGGATATTTTGAGAGGGGAGTACTTCAATCGCTGGTACAACTTAGGACCTTACATAGTGTCAATATTAGCCGTGGAATTACCTTTCCAGGTGAGTTTCAGTACATTTAGCGTGAAAAAGATATTTAATTGGTGTAAAGAAATAAAAATTATGATGTTATCTACCGACTTCATCGGCATTTTCTGTATGTGTAAAAAAACTATACAATTAAATTGATTACAAATGTAATTCCTTTCATTTGCTTTCCAACACAATTATAAAATGTGAATGAATCGTCACTACATTGTTACGATACACGTAATTGAAATTTGGCTATCATTAATTATGCATTCTTAATGTAACTTCCGTGTTTTATCATAGGGTCAAGGTGTAACAGACTTTGTTCAATACACAGTATAAAAGTATAAGTTTTCTGAAACATTTAGAAACTACTATATGTGAATAATATCAGATACACTGCAACGCAGATAATTCTGTAATCCGGTACAGATTATACTATTAAATTAACTAAGAAATTAAATCAGCAACCTTCCAATTATACTTGCCTTCGTTATGACCTTTACTTTTGTCAGAATATTTCACTTTTCAGTTCTCCTGACCATTTAAACTATTTATGATATTTAATCGTAATTTTCTTTTTACCTTTCAGATGATATCATGTGTATCATACGTGGTACTATCTTACTGGCTGACTGACAACCCCCTGGAGCCTACGAGAGCAACCCTGTTCCTTGCCACTATAGTTGCCACGTCGCTGTGTGCACAGGCATGGGGTTATTTCATCGGATCCACTACTCCTACCAGGGTATGAAACTCCCATTTCCTTCAGATTATTGTATTAAAGATACTTAAAAAGATTAGCTTCTTAGCATTTTACAAAATATTCAATGATCCTGTGTTCTAAATAGCATATATATAGTCAATGCACATAAATCTGACTACGTCAACAGACAAGTCCGCCTTGACTTGTTATAAAGAGTCCAGGAGGCTTACTATTAAGTTAATCCAATTCCATTGTAAAATTTCGTACTCTTGAGTTGCAACACTAGCGCTCATTGCATTCGTATTGCATGGATATTTAATGAACTAAATGGTATTGAGTTTGACTTTATATTCCGTACTCTGAATGCTATTTTAACAGCTACGATAGAGGTTGTATAGTTTTGACTTTAAATAAATATTGAGATTTTATTGGATTGAAATTGCATTGACATTGAGATTGACTTCAAGAATTCGGGTCTCCATAAAAATAGATTGCAAATACTCTGATCACTCAATATGGCCATTTTTGTCACATGTCTTAACAAATGTATTCTTCGTTTTCCAGATTGCAGTATTCATCGGTCCAGTCCTCGCGTGTTTGTTCTCTGTGTTTGGTTTCTGCTTGGCCCTGGTGGACACTCCTTATCAATTCCGCTGGCTTCATCATATTTCATACTTTAGAGCTGGATTCCACGTTGCCGTACATTCTGTTTATGGATTTAACAGAACTAGGATGCATTGCTCGAAAGGTGAGAAAACGCGATTCGGTACTATATCTATGATCTATGATACTTAACAAGCATCTAAAGAGTAGGTACCTTTCCAAGGGACCTTGGATGATGGGGTTGAAATCGTACCAGTAAAACTGCAATAATGACTGTTCAGAAGTAATGTCAAGAAGAACTTTACAGTTTTCAAATTTTAAATATAATTGGTATAAATAAATCTGAAGACAAATATTTTAACATCGGCTACCGTCAGTCAGACCAAAATATATTCACCGTAACTTAATGCAAATGCACTCATCTTTTATTAATTAAAGACCACTAATCAAGTAATTAGTTTACAAAACTCTTTTGTTTCCAGAGTATTGCCACTACATCACACCAAAGACTTTTCTAAAAGAAATGGACATGGAAAACATTGACGTTGGAGAAAACATGGCGCTGGTGCTTTCAACGACAGTCCTAATGCACGCTTTGACAGCTGCCGCGTTATGGTACAGATTAAATAAAAGATGAACAAGGACTTGTTGAACGCCATCTTAAATATTGGATTGGGTTTTTTAATCTATAGTATTAGTTTAGATACCGCGGGAACAGAGTATACATGCCTACCTAATGACACTGACAAGTTGATTCTTGTCTATTTTGACTTTAATAATGAAGCCAATAACTATAATGCTACTTATCTATGGAACGTTTTTTGTTAGTAAAATATTATGTTACACTCTGTTCACGCGGTCTATAGTTCCCTATTTATTTAGTGATAGCAATGTACTTAGTTTAATTTTAACAATGAAAGTTAACGCAGGCGCTAGAGAAATTGTGATATTTCATTAGGTACTTACGATTTGTTCTGACTAACTTGTCGAGTATTTTATGACTTTGTGCTACTTCTTATGTGATTATCTTTGTTCGAATTAGTTTTTGACGACATTTCAGAATAACCTGAATAACAACAGCCTTAAAACAAGACATCGAATAATAATGATCATAAAGGTGTTACTAAAGTTCATGCACAAATATAGTACTCAGTTTTGCAATAATTTTAAAGTCTTGCCTTTTCAATTTATAAAATAGATCTGACTCCATGACTGATAATAATGAATTTATGTAACAAAGGCCTTATTTCTAATATTTTTCATGCAATAACTTTTCTATAACTTAGCATTCTTGGGTTTATATTTTTTATCTTATTCTTAATTTTCCGAAATTCTTACTATTTAAATTAATCATCTTTTTAATTATTTTCACACGAATTATAAGTGAGCCACACTTGCCTAAAATCATAAATAAATATATATTTTTATAACAATCGTAAGCAAGTATTAAATCCATTATATCTCGCGATGTAATGTGAATTATGTAGTAGTTAAATTATTTTTTATGTGATAATAATTATATTTTAAAGGAATTGTGTTAGATTAATTTATAATTACTTAGTATTAATTGAATAGGTTTATTTTATGACAAATAAAAACTTTGAGATGATGTAAGCATTAAAATGAAAAATACTGTGAAATTTAAAAACAAATTGCGAGATATGCTGCTGGGTACAGTATGAATAAATGATAAACAATACCTATTAAAATATGTAATACCAAAATATAAATAAAGTACTTCAATTCATGAGGCACCTAAAAGACGGCATTGGAACATTTAAAAGCACGAATTATTATGGTTTTGTTTGACGAGAAAGTCGACTAGTTTACTATAGCTACTTTCCGAAAACATAACAATTAATTTAGTATGTTGTAATATCAACCCTTAAATAGAACTTTACAAAATATCAATCGACATGACATAAAAACAAAACCGTTTTCTAAGAGCCTTGTTACTTACTATCCTTGTCACAAAATCAATTTTCCTTATAACGATCGCAAATTTGTTTTTACATTTTAGCAATAGGTACATTAACAAAAACATTGAATTTGACCAATCAGATAACGTTGGCCATAAGATAAGCCTACCAAATGAATATGAAACCATGACTCATTTCTCTGAAGAGTTCTCTTAATATTACCTACATATGAATCATATTATGTTTCATATATTATCTATGGAACGAATCTCATAGGTGATCGGAGATTTACTGACTGATAAAATTGAATGACAACGATTACCGAATAAATAAAATAAATGTATCCAGTGATTAACTGCGTTTTATTACTAATTGTAGTTATGTGGAAAGATAATTTGTGAATCAGATGCCCTATGAGTAAGGGCGATTAAATATTCAGTGCTTTTTGTGTGTCATCTGCTATATAACCCCTTCTGATTTATTGAAGATTTTTTGTTATTACCTAATTAATAACTATGTTAATCTAAGGTAACAAAGTATACAGTTCACCAGTTATGTATGCAGTCCAACAGACAAAAGAACTTGGAATGAGCAAATAGCTTCACTTTTCAATTTTTTGACGTTCTAAAGTGCTTTCCTGGTTTACTTTGAGTTTGTCATATTGTAATTAATTAGGACAGGAATATAGCCAAATATCAAAGCCTCATTGGCCGAGTGGTGGCAAGTGCGACTGCCGGGCAAGAGGTCTCGGGTTCGATTCCCGGGTCTGGCAAAGTATTACTGGGTTTTTCTCAATGGTAGCACGGAGTCTGGAACTGTGCCCGGTATATGGCAATAGGCTCACCCCCTATTACATGGGACTCATAACATAAATAGTGAAAAGTGGGTGTTACATTACAGTGGCATTAAGTGCCGTAATGTGCACCTCTGCCTATCCTTTCGGGGATAAAAGGCGTGATGTTATGTTATGCATCAAAGATTCCTAATTATGTACTTTTATACGAGTTGAGAATATCGAAATTGGATGACCGAACATTACTTTTGACCCTGGGAATCAAATCTTTAGACACCTAACTCGAATAATATTGGCAATACTTGATCGGTGACTCATAACTGTAGACATATTGCACTCATGTATCTCGATTATCGCACATATGTACTAATCATTATTTCCTTCTCTCAAAAAGTCTCTTGCTTGATGACAAGTAACGTGCTATTGGAGTTGTTACAAACCATGAAGTATAGACAACTAATAAGGAACAGAACATATACGTTACAAGTACTTATTAAAATAGGAATTTTAATATTCAATCTGCAGATTATTTATTCTAGAGACTAAAGGAGAAAATAGTAGTGCAGAGAGGTGTTTAAATACAACAAAATATACCAACAAAGACCGTAACTATTAATCGTGACTTATTTTAATTAACCGACTAATATATAGGCTAATACAATTATTATACTCGTACATAAGTGCTATAATTTCTGCATGCTTAGAAAATTTATAAATAACGTCTAACTACAGTTTGATTTGTCAGTTACATATAAACAAATTGAAGTAGGTAGATATTCAATAATGTTATAATTTATTTCCGCTAAAATTATGGATAGTCGAAGACATGGTATCAAAACTATTTTTTTTTCTTACATCAGTGTAATACAGTAACGAACAGTAAAGTAATGAAGATTTGTATTCGATGAACTGATGAAAAGGAACATAAGAAAATTATGAAAATATACAATAGCACTATTAGTTCTATTTATATCAAGCTTTAACCACCTCATTTTTTCAAATGTATGTAAATTATTTTTCCTTTAAGGGAAAAAAATAAAAAATATAATAAAGTGTCCAATGATGCTTGCTAAGTTTCTTCCCTATAAAATGGAACGACGATTTATTTTTAATAACTCACTTAATTTTCTTAGAACTCAAATTAATATCAGATTTATAAGTACAAATAGGAGTAATTAGTTTAACAATAATACGAGACAATCCTTTTATGAGTCAAGCTGCAAAATGTGCGTACTAGAAAGCATGATTCATCACAGTAAAAATAATATTAGTTCGATATCAGAGTGCTTGCGTTAAATACACAAACATTTAGATGTTTGTTATCAGTGAATTTGTACCTTGGTGATAGTATACGAACACCTGGCTCAGATCTGTGAATCATATTGTTTCATATGCTGATAAATTAATACTATCTATACCCTTTCGGAGAAAGATGAGGAAAATTGAGTATTGAAAGAGATGGGTATATCTCTTATCCTCTTTCATTGCTTTTGTTTTTAATTTTAGGAATAATTAAAGGTATTAATAATTCGTTATGCTTTGTATCACTACCTATGTTTTTTATAAACTGAAATAATCTTATTTGTACTTTTCCCTGGCCATCAAAGGAACATATAAGTACTAAGGTTTTTCATAATTGTAGTCAGGAGGAAAAAAATCTGTCCTCAAAACTTACTCAGAAAAAACCAAAAAATACCTACAACATATAAAACAAAGAATATTTCACCATTTGGTTTGTGAAATCCTTAAAAAACTTGTCTTAGGTATTAATTAATTAAAATAAATCAGCTCTAAATTATAGACATATAGCTAGAGCTAATTTGAACCAATAACTCCACACCAGATGGACATAGGCACGTGCTTATCATTTTAGATCTAAACACTAGTAGACTTAAGTACCATTTTTATCTAACCTAAAACTCGTGATCCAGTTGTAAAAATCGGTTTCGAATTTTTGCGATAAAAGTGAGTAGGTACTTACTTCCATAGTGATGGTAAGCAAGGTTGATAAACGCACGCTCTTCTGTATAATAGACATTTAACAGTACTACTTCAATACAGACGGTTTGATCTGAAAAAAGCTCCCGTATTTTCCGATTTGTTTGCGGCAGTTTCTATTGTTGATTAACAGTGTAGTTTTACCTATATGTTCTGTGTTAGTGAATTGTTGATTGGTTTCATATGTAAGTATTTGTGCTAATTCAATGCAAGATTCTTTACAAAAGTTGAATATAATAATTTAGAGGTATAGTAAGTAGGTAGTTACTTAATTGGTAGAGCAATGTAGAGTAGGGTTGTTTTTAAACGGTCATATTCTAAATTTAATTATTATGGTTTTCGGCTCACTCATGTAATTATTTGACGAAGTACTCGACTAGTTTCAAGTCATGCTAGAGGCTCATACTCATGAGCAGCATTCATGAGTAAGCCGAACAACATAATAATTAAATTTAGTATGTCTCACGAAAGGTGATATTCTAAGTTAGAGATTTTTATATTAATTTTAAAACAATTCTACGTATATAGTACATGTAGGTCTAGGTACAATAGTAATTAATTAGTTTATAAAAGTCATAACATGCCTTTGAAACACAACAGATTATACCTACACCCTGAAAATTGTGTTAGATTAAGTTTAGTTTAGTTTAGCCTACCTACAGGAAATATTTCTTTAATCAAATGCTTATTATCATATATACCTACTATCGTCATAAAATGCTATATAACTTTTAGAATTAATATTATATCCAGCACGAAACACAAAATCTTTATACCTATTATATTATTTACATGAACAATTGAAAACGAAAGCAATCATAATACATAGGTACGTAATACTTTAAGACGGAAAAATCATAATCGTCAAAATCAACAGCCTATAAATGGCCACTGTTAACCAAAGGCCTCTTTTCACACAAAGAAGCATTGAACATTAATCACCACGCTTGCTCAATGCGGATTGGCGATTTCAAACTTATAATTAGAAATTTTAAGCCCAGGTTTCCTCACGGTGTCTTCCTTCACCCTTTGTAAGTGGTGTTTAAGTAATAAAACACATAACTTGGAAAAAGTCGCATAGGTATAATCGTCATTACAGATTTACACATACATATTTTGTTTAATGACGATATCATTATCATCAACTGGAAGACGTACACTGCTGAATAACTGCCTCCTCTTACTATACAAGACTTTAAAACTTCATTTCTATCAACTTCCAATGCCAATTGTAAATTACCATTGACCCCCGCCCCCCAAATCGCGCGTACACAATGTATCAGTATGCAAGTTCCCCTACCGTTCTCTTAAGTACCCTCAGAGATGGGAAGTACCAAACCAATATCTTGTTTTAAAGGAACAATGAAAAGCTCCGTCTCATGACTCACTATTAAAAAAATCGGGACTAAATGTGTCATAAAGTATTGAGTAATTTATTGTTGTTGTTTGATATCTTAAGGTAAGCGTTGATTGTATGTTATACATGGATTACTGTTCTGAAACTATTTTTTGCCATTAGAAAGCTTACTTCACAAAATCGGGAGCTGCTGACAAAAAATTAAGACATATATAAATTACATTTATATTAAGATTCGATTATTTCACAGCTAGCCATCCAAAGTCAATTAACAAAGTACCTATATCTTGATTCCCAAATATCAAATATACATAGATAAGACATTAAGAACATAAAGGTATGACAAAGTAAACGGTTATGTAAAATTACGTATGAAAACAGACATATTAGTCACTAATAATGATTTGTGCCATAACTGTAGAGTAAGATAAGGCACGCGACCCACGACGTAAAATATATCTACGCAGTTCCTTTGTGAACAACTGTTGCGTTCATGCATCTTTGCTCTTAACATTTTGTAAATACGAACAACGTGACATTTGTTATGTTATTTGTTAAATTAACTCAATATAAACAAGATTGTAAATATTATTTATATGTTGTATTCAATTAGATATGAAAAAGAATATTAATTTCGAACCCGGTCGCAACCATGTTGATAGAAAGTTAGAAAGAAGAAAGAGTTGGGTACAAAAATTATGAGGTAAAAATAGGAGCTTGTAATATCCACGGGTATAAATGAGTATTTTTCTGTAAAGATCCTCTGTATCACTGCCCTTTTTCTTCTTGACGCCTATCGTATAAGGGTGGATAAAGGAGCGTTACTTTACATGAAAGTTCAAAACTAGTAAAGCGTAGTTTCACGTACACAAATATCTAACAGTATTAAAACTCAGATTTAGTACTTTACTTAACTCAGAACCGTAAATGCCAAGTATCTAACTGGTATGATTTCCTGGTAACGTGAAAGTTAAGCGGAGTTCCCCATATTGAGTCAGTGTGCATGTCTTTCGAAGATAATATTGACTTATAATAATCATGTTTTGCACAGCTACATACGTCATCAAAATATAAACTAGGGTATCGATTTCCTAGCCCTTCCTAACCCTTGTTTGCTAGCGTGTTTGGAATAGATAAGTACATTGGATTATAGATGAAAATATGGAAAACGCTGACGTCACATTTACTTGTATATTGAACCATCGCAATACTGCCACACAATTTAGTAATAACTTTGGAGTAGGGAAGTTGATAGTGTTATGTTTGCTCTAGCATAATGTAGTGTATACATATAAAATCGACAAAAAATACTAAAACTATTATAACAAAACGTGTGATTTCTCATGTACTGCTTTCTTCATTTTTGCTGTTTGAATTTACCCATAATCTTATAGCTTAACAATCATAACTATTGATATCTATCGAAGTGTCGTGTAGCACTACAAGATCACTTGTTCACTGCACAATGGGTTGGTGTTGCGGCATCTATGACGGTCGCCTCGTTACTGTTGCGGCTCCAAATTTTACAATAGCCTATCTGTCTTGCAGCGATAACAGCTACCGAAGCGCGAGTTACTGCCAAGTGCCAGCTGACGGCCATGTGGGGAGTGGGGGAGAACGACCGATAATCGCCGACGGAGTGCCAGCCGCCTGCGCAGCGCAGTTCGCCTTCCTCAGCCAACGCGTCAGGGCGCCACGCAACTGTCGCGTTACCCTCTTTGTTTACATCGGACGCGTTTCTTTGTTCAAATTAGCGCGCGATGGATAAAGTGCGTTCTGTTGTGTTATAGTTATTTTTGTTGTGTGAGTGAAAGTTTACGAACATGGCCAGTGAACATTCCGAGTCCCAGGAGACCAGCTCCACGTCTCTAGTGGAAGACTCGCTGACCATATCGTTCGAAGACATCAGCTATGTGGTCCGACATGGCATCTTGGCGGGAGGTAAGCGAACCTTCACACTATTACGAAGTTTGTTTACATGCTTGCATTGCGTGTTACATACAAACACGTATTAAGTGAGATAAAGTTATCTCTACTGCTCTACACAACTTGAATAGATGTTATTTATTTACTATACATCAATAGTAGTTTAACGATTACGTATGCAGTGTTTCTGTTTTGTTTTCTTCGTGGCAAACAATGCTGATGTCGACAATTCTATCAATGTCAGATGTGAAATAGAAGGGCAAGGGTTACAAAACAAATAGGGCTCGTGTACTGAGACCGCATTATATAATACTTCTTTCAAAATATCAATTACAAGTCCGTATAAACATGATAATCACTATTTAAGTAGGTATATAGGTATGTTATTATATCAGTAATGACTAAAATCAAAATCATTATTAATATCTCTCCGTATCAAACGCTAATATGTGTTAAACAAAGTAGTTTTATTATTAAAACGAAAATAAGGAAACTGATAAACTGTTGAAACGTCCTTTAGACAATTTAAAACTTAGACTCATGTATTAATGTAATGACCATTAAGAGTCTAAAAATAAAGTGTAAATGTTAAACTAATGTTTATTATTTGTAAAAAATAAATTATACTTTGAACTCTGTGTCCTTCGAGCAGTAATATAATAAACTGCTTCCTTTTTCTGTAAATTACGATTAAAGTAAAGAAAATATTACTATTTTATTTATTTACCAGATCGGGTATATATTGCTAATAAAATATCCAAACAAATATCAATTACTTAATTATAAAACAAATTACAAATAATTCACCAAAAGCAATCCCATCAAATTTTAAATAATCAAAAGACGGCGTTATCATAATTTTTGCTATAATTCAAGTATAATTTTAGATAGTCTCTGTTTAGTTTTAGATAAGAAGCAAAGGTACAATTAGATAAAAACATTGCTTAAATATAACGGTTTCCGTAATAAAATCCCACAGATTGACCTTTTTATCATTTGTAATATTATTGTCAGTCAATATTCACATCTTCCTACGCATATTTTGTAAGCAAACAGTAGAAAAAGCTGCTAACAGGCCCACAGGCGTTCTATATCGGTCTGCTATGTTACTATGCGATAAAAATATATTCAGCCTTGAACTGGGTCGCTGACATCAACGTGTGTCAACAGATTAATCAACAATTAGTATTACAATATGTAAAATGTCTTTCTACTTTAAATTTTGACCCCTCTAAATTGTCTATTTAAGAAGAATATCTTAATTTTAACATTCCAATCGTTTTATCTATGGCTACTATTTGTCTATTTGCATTTAGCGCTATTGCGATTCTAATAAGAAATCTTTTTTGTGGTGTAATCTATCACCTTCAGCGATCGTGTCTTACGGTTCCTTATTGAAAAATCGGAGTACTTATCCTGTCCCGTTTATTGGTTGATAGGCCATGGGCGTTGCCAGAGGGGGGCAAAGAGGGGAATTGCCCCCACATGGTCCAGAAAAATCGTAACGACGAACGTCTTTATCCACTTTGTGAACACGACTACCGAATTCAAAAGAATTGTATTGAAGCATTCAAGATTTTTGTATAGCTATTCAAGTCCCCCTATTTATACAAGTCGACTAAATTCTCTCACAAGGACTTCGCCTAACCTAATTCTAAAGATAACGAAAGCTTTTTAAAATTATCGTTAACGATATTCATTATCGTGTTTAACACGAATCCCCCATAAGTCATTACCAAACGTTCGAAGCTACATGACCTTAGATAAATGATTTAGATTAACTAACAAACAAATTACTTAGCAAAATCTTTATCGTTTTTTAACTTATTTATCATAAACCATAACGTAGCTAATCATATATGTATTTTGACGATACAAATTTTTGTACATCATAATGAACGGTTGTTGTATTTCTGGAAATTTTTAAACCTAAATACGGCCTATAATACGTATGCATTGACGTGTTTGTTTCAAAAACATTAAAGTTATCTTATTATGCTCAGAAAATAGAAATTTAAAAGATCTGATTACTTACGTAATAAGTAATAATTATTTATCATAATATGTATGTACAAATTAAAGACACGTGTTTATCAGTACATGTATAACTGTCCCTATATGAGACAAAATATACTATATGACTAATGCAATTATAAATAACATAAATACACTAAAATAGAACTAGGTTTGGCGTGACATTGAGATCGCACAGATAGCGCGAGAGCCACGATAAGATCAATGCGCAATGGCATATTTGTTGACGAATGTAGCAAAAATATTATACTTTTAAAATCATTTCTTGTTATGTTTAACATGTTGGGCAAGTGTGAGTCATTACTTTTACAACTTACGTTCTTATAAAAAATATCGTAAGAATAAAAAAAAATGTTCGTTACAAAAAATTGTGCAGCACAATTTTCGGATTTAACCGCACTTACACAATTAAAAGTAGAAATATGTCAACAGATGATTTTAAATATTTATTTTACAGTTTGTATGATAATGAATGCGAAAATACAGGGCGTGCTAATGCTATAGGGTCGCAGGCGCAGCTACGCACTTGAGAACACATAAAAAATGTCAACTCATTAGTGTCGCCACAATGGAGGCCTTATTTTCAAAATTTTGCAAAAAAATCAGAGATAAAGAAAACTTTACAAATATTACGCATAGCATCTTGTTTTATCACTAGAAACCTTCTGGGTCTGTCCAAGCTACAAAGTCAAAGTTTGCAAATCAGAACAAAGTCAAAACTACACTCTATTTTAACAATGAAATACCACACCCTCTCTTCAGCAGAACTTCAAATTCTCGAAATGTATTGTTTAAAAATATTTACATTTGCGGGAAGTCCGCTTAAAATGTACGTACGTAATTCTTAGAACATCGCAAAAGCTAAGGTAACGAAATAACTAGCTATATATAAACAAAATAAGGATGTGAAACAATATACACGTCATTAGAATAATTTGTGAGTATTCAATCGTTTATTGCAAATATGATACCCAGAATTGTAATGTAAATAACATTTAAACGTAAATAATACATCTATAAGGAGAGTTTACAATATAAGTTCTGGATAAATTTAACTGATAGATACATCATCCGAATGATTTCCATAAAGAAAATCATCAAATGACTGCTCCCGCCTGGGTGAGGCGGAAGGGAGTGTCAGACTCTTACTGACTAAAAACCACCCCGTTCCTTCTCCTGCACGTCGAGCCGGAGCCCTGGTTACCCGTTAGGTTCTCCGCGACGTGGGTGCTAGATAGTGGCTATCCAAAGGCTTTAACCCGGACACCCCTATTTCCTAAAACCAATATACAATATATAGGCATAGCTAATAGAGACTAACTTTTGATTTGATTGTGTGTATTAAATGCCTATAATAACATCAAAAAATATTATTAAAGTGGACATGGAAAGCCAACTTCAAATATTACGTTGCCAACGCAAGGCACTTCTAGTACGTAATAACAAATTGAATTACAATAAATCTTCCTTTAAATCAATTGATCTAGAATTGGAATGTCGAGTAGCAAATTCTTCCATTCATATCAATTGATTTGACATTGACATTGACCATGTTAATTTTTTGACAACTATCTTCTGAGCCTACACATACAACACATATATAAAAACGAAGTATATAGGTCTCACATATTCCAACTTAACTGTAATTTTTAATCAAGTTTTTGAATTAGTTTATTCATGGTTTACTCAATCTTTTATATTAGAATCTACACTTTTAAATCAGAACGAAATGAAGCTTAAACTGAAAACGAAAGATAAATGCAGAACGTGTTTTGTAAGACTATTCGCTAATGGTTGTTACTTTTTATTTTATTTATAAAATATTGAATAGCTAGATTACTTATTGCAATCAAAACCAAGTAAATGTCACTAAAATAAATAATCCTGTAAAATTACACTAACTGATAGAAAATTAAACAATAATTATTATGTTTGTATTTCACACGGATAATCACGTTAACTTGTTATCTAATCGTATTATGCTGATGCATTCTCCACGGTTGAATTGTTGTGAATGCACATAGAATGTAGCACTAGTGTTGTAAAGGTAGTGCATATTTTACATAGTATACTCTATACGTAGGAATATATTAAGTAGAATACATTCCCTACCATATACTGCAAAATCCTGTAAAGATTTCCCACCTAGAATAAAATTATCAAAGAGTTTTTTTAAGGGGGGAAATACATCGAATGAAGTCTCCCGCCCGGGTGAGGCGGGAGGGAGTGTCAGACTCTTACTGACTAAAAACCACCCCGTTCCTTCTCCTGCACGTCGAGCCGGAACCCTGGTTGCCCGTTAGGTTCTCCGCGACATTATCAAAGGGATAGATAGATATTAACGGAGTCAACGTATTCAAACCCATAGGTGGCGCGGTTAATTTAATATCAAATGATCCAGCTGCTCGCCTCGCTACCTATCTTATAAAAACAGTATATTTTTTTCCAACTCCTTATTACTGGCTCCATCCAAAAGTTGTCTGTAAGAAGTCGCATTCTGTGATAAGACCGCTTATTGTATATGTACACATTTTTTTTTCTTTATATTTTTATGGTGTAAATAAATGACTAATGTCGGAATACTCAAACGCTACTCAATTTTAAGTAGCGCTTAAGTATAGTTCTGTCTCGACAAATTCTTTGTAAAATGACAGAGATGGCACGATATTTAAGCACGACTTAAAATTGAGTAATGTTTCAGTATTATATTATTATATTATTCAGTATTATTATAGAGGTATAAAAAAACTATATCATGGTAAAACAAAATGCAGCATACTTGCTCTTACTGCAATATTCACCCAATTAACCTATAACGCGGTTTATTTAACTAGAACGTTAACGTTAACTGAGGAACAGATGTGTTGTGAACCAGTTGCGTTACAAAACATCGTCTAATAATAGTTACACGCTGAAGCTGAAAATAAGTTCGCCCTTTTAAAATGATGTTAAGATGAAATCAACATATGTAAAATACCTAT